ACTGTTTGGGGGACCTTAAATTAGAATTGATTCTATTACGCATTTTTGTAAGAAACTAATAAGGAGTCGTCAATGAGTTTTAGGAAAACTCATAAACCTCGTTCATTCCTTTCTCCCAATTAGAGTTCAAAGGATATTTAGCATGAATTATAAGTTTACCCATGCCCAAATTGGTCTACTTGTACCAGAAATGAGTTCGAGAGCGAGGGTACTAAAACAATGTTCCCTTTAGGGGGAATCGCTATCCTAGCCCAAGTGCGGCCTCTACTTGCTCTTCCTTTTTCACAATTTCATCACCAAACAATATATGCAACGTGATACCTAAAACTAAGTTAGTTGATTTTATTTACAAGCATTAATCAACATAAAGATTACATTGCAACGAATGTCGTTATTCTTTGTTATTCAAATTCGTGAAAAGAACAAGAAATAAACAATATTCGCCTTGACTTAACTGGTAAAACAACAATTAATTATTTCAATTCTAGTCTTTAATTAACGCAAGATACTATGTGAAATTATTTAATTAAAAGTTTGTTTAAAGTGATCAAACAACACTAATCAATTGATTAAAGTTATTTAAACAAGAAAAGAAAAGTGATTTATCTAAGTGCTTAGGAAACTAACTATTTTCCTTTGTTTTCTAGATCTTTGTTTTGGATGTTTATGGACCTTCCTTCTTCTTCGTACCTCCAAGACTTCAATGGAATCAATTAGGGTTGGAGAGTATTTGGAAAGAGAGGACAAAAGTAGTATGATAGTAAGAGGGTTTGAGAGATTAGGGATTTCACAATGATAGGGTTTTAATTCTGATTTTTTTGTTGTTCTTAGGGCTAAAGCGAAGACCCCTATTTATAGGCGTAGGAATCTAGGTTTAGGGTTTTAGAGCTGCGGTGTTAGGTGGCGCGTGCAACTCTCAGAGTCGCGCTGGAGTGCCGAGCGCAACTCTAAGAGTTGCGTGCGGTGCGGTTTGCCTTTTACGAGAACGCGTTTTTAAAACTTCCATAACTTTTGATTGCAAATTTGGATTAAGGAAAATAAGATATCATTGAAAATATCTGAATGTCTAATTTCCAATGCCGTTAGAATTAGGTTAAAATCTGTTGTGGATCAAAAGATATGGTCGTTTGAGTGCAAAGGTGTCGGTTTTAGGGCCCAGTTTAGTATTTTGATGATAACTTCTTCGTTTGAAATCAGAATCGGGCTTATAATATACCGTTGGAAAGCTCTTTAAAAGGGCTATCCATATGTATAGGCTTTCAATGATTTTGGGTGGTTAAATTTTCTGGTTGGCTCGGTTGTCTACAATGTAAGATCTATTTGATCCAATGATGGCATTTAGGTCCGTTATTAATCAAGTTTAAACATGTATGAGCACGTTTTAGGCCTAATTATTAATCGAACTAGGCTCTAAGATAATTTGGTCTCAAATATAGTTTAACTTAATTCATAATGCATTTCGGAGTCCATAAACACTTCAACTTTGATCTAGCATGAAGAACGAGTTTTTGTTACATCATCGCACTTCCTGTCGGGATAAGAGGCCAAAAGTAGTTGTCTACAGTTACCATGGTTGAGTAGATCCCATTCCCTAGTGCTTTTAATTACTTGATTTAGAAACCATAGCTTGTTTGTCTAATCGACGAACCCCCAAACAACCAAAGCCTTCGAACTAGCTTGAGTGTTAAGATCCTTAGAAATTATATCCTGTTCCTTGTGGACCGAACTCTTACTTATCATTGTGCTTGGTTTGTGAGATGTTTGATTATAAATGTGTTCGAATGAGTGTAGAATGTGCACCGTTCTAGCACCCATTAAAATGCATTTTGAACGCGGGAAAATTAGGTCGTTGACTAACCTCCTAGCGATCAAACAAATTTATAAATCCTAAACTAACCCCTAAACATGTCTATTGGTAAGTTCGGAGTCGAACTACAAGGAATAGTAACGCTAGATTGTTCTGGATCTAATGCTTAAGTTACGCCGAAGTTGGTTTATGGATAGAGGACACTACAACTACACTAACACACATATGTAGAACAAGGGATAATAAAGTCTACTAGGGGCAAAGATCCACTTTGAACGATTAATAAGCTAATGAGAATCCATGGATAACCAATCATGCAAAGAAAGAATTAAAATGGGAATTAATTACACTCAAGAGCAATCTTTCAACTTTCTAGCCTAGATCCTTCTATGACTAGGCGCATAAAAGAAATTAACCCAATATGCAATCAAATGTATCAATTTTACTTCACAATACCTTGTCAAACTAGAACCAATAAACAATTAAGTTTGCTATTATGGGAGATCAATCCAATCTAAAACAAACAACATGCCATCATCAATTCAATCAATTTAATTACACAATAATCATCATATTTATCTCAAATAACTCAACTAATCATTACAAAACTTCACTCAACACCTAGTAAAAGGAAAACTATTCAAACATGATTAACAAAACAATTAAAGAAAGCATAAAGAGAAGAGAGAGTAAGAATGCTCATTGATATAAGATGGAGATTTTCAAATCATTAATTTCCTCCTTTGATTATCCAAAATCCATGAAAGCCATTGTGTTTCTCACTTTCACTCTCCGAAATGAATTTCTCTCTTTATAATGAGCAAACAATCTATTTATACTGACGGGCGTTAGAACGGTCGCACATTCCACACTCAATCAAATAAATTTATAAATCCTAAAACTAACCCCTAAACAAGTCTAGTGGTAAGTTCGGAGTCGAACCACAAGGAACGGTAATGTTGGATTGTTCTCGATCTAATGCTTAAGCTACGCCGAAATCGGTTTATGGATAGTGGACACTACAACTACACTAAAACACATATAAAGAACAAGGTATGATAAAGTCTACTAGGGGAAAAGATCCACTTAGAACAATTAATAAGCTAATGAGAATCGATTTGATAATCAATCATGCAAAGAAAGAATTAAAATGGGAATTAATTACCATCAAGAGCAATCTCTCAAATTCCTAGCCTAGATCCCTCATTGACTAGGTGCATAGAAGAAATTTACCCAAAATGCAATCAAATATATAAATTCTAATTCACAATCCCTTGTCAAACTAGAACTAACATGCAATTAAGTTTGCTATCTTGGGAGATCAATCCAATCTAAAACAAACAACATGCCATCATCAATTCAATCAATTTAATCACACAATTATCATCAAATTTATCTCAAATAACTCAATTAACCATAACAAAGCTTCACTCAACACCTAGTAGAAGGAAATCTACTCAAACATGATTAACAAAGCAATTAATAAAGCATAAAGAGAGAAGAGAGTAAGAAATGCTCATTGATATAAAATGGAGATCTTCAAATCATCAAATTCCTCCTTTGATTATCCAAAATCCATGAAAACCATTGTGCTCCTCACTTTCTCTCTCCAAAATTTGAGAGTTTCTCTCCCTAAAAACCTAAAACTAACCTAAAAACTATTCTAAAACTGAAAAATCCTCTTTTTTTAATGAGCAAAAAAAAAATCTATTTATTACCCCTTACAAAATTGCTTAGGAAGCTCCGCAAAAAGTCAGCTGAAACGGGAAAAGGTCCGACCGAACTCTATGTAGGTTCGGTCGGACTCAGGGTAGGTTCGGCCGAACTCAGGGTAGGTTCGGTCGAACCTCCCTGATCCTTGTTTGGTCGAACTTTCCTGGTTCGACCCCTCCTGTAAACATGCTGAAAACTTGGTTGAAACTGCCTTGGAGGTTCGGTCGAACTTTTCAAAAGTTTGACCACACCTTGGTTCGACCGAACCTCTTAGAGGTTCGGCCACACCTCCTCTTGAACTTCCTCTTCTTGCTTCCTCTTATTCCCTTTTGCTCCTCTTGTCTTTGTCCATGCCTCCATACTTGGCCAAGGGGCCTCCTACCGTGCTTAGGACCGTCATGGAACCTGCAAAAGATAGCAAAGATCACGAGAGCATGGGGATGGTAAAATTATGCATTAAGATTATCAAAACAAGCGCAAATAAGCATACTTTTCATCCATAAAAGAAAAGGAAGCCATAAGAGGAGAAAAGAGGTAGAAAACCTAAGAAAAACAGGAGAAAAGAGACCAATACACTACCCCTAAGGGTAACATAAATGTCACTCATCATATACCCTAACTAAATTGCCTAGGAAGCTCTGCAAAAAGTCGAGCAGAGCGTATAGGAGCCGGCGCTCCAAAGGTCTTGCGCGGGTGCTCTTAGCTGCAGCAGACGGAGGCAGAATCGTTCCAGAAAGTTAGGAGCAGGCGCTCCTCTCAGACTGCGCGACCAGTCCTATTGCGCTGGACAAAACTACTCAGCTTTAAACAAACATATCTCCCTCATTTTACATCAGAATTGGGCATATGACCCGTTGTTGAAAAGCTCCCAAGATAAGCTTTCATCTCCAATTAGAATCACTCAAAAATGTTTTGTAGATCAAAAGATATAGGCGTTTGAAGTTCGATCATTGCAATCAAGTGCACATTTCTTCATTACTTGTTCAATTATGTTTTATATTTCTTCAATCTTGAGCAATGAACTTATCTAAGTGTTCTTTAACATAACAATAAACCAATAAAGTTTAATCTAATGCAAGAAGCAATCAAAATATGCAAGAAAAGCCAAAATTGAGCAATAATGACATTTCACACGCAAACACGACAAATGTAATAAAACGTTATTAAAACCAAGTAAAAAGATATCAAAAATATGAAAAACTAACTAGAAAATTCCTAATAATAGTGACATAAATGACATTTATCAGTACCCTTACCCATATTAATGTCCTTTTTTCAATTTTATATACTACATATTTATTATTTGTTATTCACTCACTTTTTTTTTTTTTTTTTATGTATTTTATGTACTTTTTCCTCTATTTTTTAATTTTCGTGTTTTTTGACAAACAAAAACTTTATTTGAAGATAGAGGGAGTATATAAATAATATAAAAAAAGTCATTAATGTCAATTTTTAGGAGCATAGGAGTAACCGAGTAAGGGAAACCGAGGCTGGCCGTCAAAAAATTGCTAAGGGAATCACGGAGTATATTGTATATTGGAGCTGGAGCCCGCGAATCTGGACATGTTTAAAATTCGGCCTCACAATCCAATACCACACGTCCACACCATTTTAAACCTCAGCTTCAAAGCTCAAGCCTTCAACAATGGCGTCTTCTAGAGCTTGCATTTCTCGAATTCCCTTACTTCGTTCATCTTGTCTCTCCTCTTCACTCCTTTTCTCTTCTCTCTCTTCTCCAATGTCCACTTCCCGCAGATTTAGTCGTCTCTCTGCTTCTCTCTCAACCCAAGACTCAAATACTCATCATTCTACTGAACAAGTTCTCATTCCCAAAACTATGAGACCCAGTTGGAAACCCTTGTGCTTGTATTATACTCAAGGAAAATGCACCTTGGTAAGCTCACTTTTTTCCTGATTTCTGATTTATTTTCTTCAAAATTGTTTCGATTTTTAAGAAGCTAGATTGTGGAAGGAATTTTGGGAATTTGATGATTTGGTGAAAGAAGACGATTTTCAGAAGAATTGTTGGGGATAGAGTTTGTTGGGTTTTTCAATGCTTGTTGTAATATGTTGCACGCTAAGTGTTCGATGAAATGCCTGAGTTAATTGTATGAATGTAATGTTAGTTTGTTAACTCTGGTGCTTACTTTAGTATTTTAGCTTCTAAGTGCTCGTTATAGGACTAGCTGATTGAGACACGATTTGTTTTATTCAGAAAGTTGCTATATGGCCGCCTTTTCTTGTATCATTTCGTGTCATTTGTCATATTATATTAGAAGTAGTTGATTAATTGATGACATTAATCTATGTTTCTTTGAATACCATTGATGTTGAGAAAAGACCTTTGGGAAAAAGATCGCTGGATAACTTCGAGCTTTCATGAACTCTGTGCCATCCATTTTATTGATCTTATCATTTTGATCATTTTTTTCTTTGCTATCACCAGGCAATATAGAAGTTATGTTTCGGGGTTTGGGACTGGTGAGTGTATATGATTCCTTCTTTATATGAAGTCATTCCAGAGTTATTTAATTTTCCATCTGTAGTTTCAGTGTAGTTAATGAATTCATGATGACAAATTAACTCATTTCTTATGTTATATTTATGGAACTGGCTCTCTTTTTAATAATATATTTGTTTTTCAATGTTGTTTATTTTTCATGATCGAGTAGATCATATATCCTTTGTACATATCTTGAAAATATAAATGAAATTCAATCTACTGTTGGAAACCAAAAACCAACAAACTTTGTGATGGTGTGGAGCTATGATGAACATGTTCCGTCCTGCTACTTTGTTTCTTGTTTTCATTATATTTATAAGCACTTCTTGGGGAAAACCAAATTTGCTGCATTTTTCAGAGCTGGTAGCATTATGAAACTGCATTTCTCATGCAATTACTTCAATATGCAGATGAATGAACCTTTCCATCTGGACATGTTCAATCACAATTGCTCTGTGCCCCTTGAAGAAAATATTTCTAAATCTGAAAAGTTGCGCTCACAGAATATAGATTTCTTTCTGGTGCTCGATTTGGAAGGAAAAGTTGAAATACTTGAATTCCCAGTTATGATAATTGATGCTAAAACACTGCAGGTTGTTGATTTCTTCCACAGGTTTGGTTCTGTTACCAAATTTACTGCAATTTCTACTATGCTCTTCCCTTTTATGATGTAGGTTCTCCAAACTTCAGTCTTTTTTAATGGCATGGATGGTTATGTTAAATTATGATGTGCCTCAGTTGCCCTCCACTTCCCAGGCAAAAGATAAAATAAAAAGGATGTTTGATATATTCACATTGTGATATGGCGAGATCTATGTTTATGTTCTCTTAAGAGAGAGATTTTGCAAAGGTTCCTCAATAAAATTCCAAGATTTTGCACCCTTATTACTTTCTAATAGCATTGTTAAAACGGTTTGACAATTCGGTTTGAAAACGGGTCGGTTTCGGTTCAGTTCAAATTATTATCGGTACGGTTCGGTTTTGGTTTATTCTTGAGCGGTTTTAATTCGGTTCAGCTTGTAAATGGTTTGGACGGTGGGTTGCGGTTTGTTAACGGTTCCGGTTGGAAACGGTTTCGGGATAGAAACGGTTCTGTTCTTTTTCGATTTGGTTTTATTTCAGTTCGATTTAGAACGGGTTCAGTTCATTAACGGGTTCGGTTCTTATACGGTTTAACATTAATTGGATCGGTTCGGCTTTGGGTTTACTAAAATATGGTTTGAGTCGGTTTTCGGTTTCAAAAAATCTTAATTTTTTATATTGACTTTTATTTGTTTTTGAAAGATCAAAGGATGCAATCATTTCATTCTAAAATTTTTGAGAATTACAATAATACATCATAAGAATTTGACTAGGCCAACTTTGATCCAATAATATAATTCCGAGCAAAATATGAAGCAATTTGTGATGTCGTTTAAAGAGAAAACGAAAATTATTTTTGCTTAATCCATAATTACATAAAAAAAGTCAAGGAAAACAATAATGTACTCCATAGTAAACATGTGTGCATAATTAGATTTCATTTAAAATTTCTTTTAATGTGATTTTAATCTTCCCTTTATAGTAAGCGGTTTGTGAATGGTTCAATTTATAAGCGGTTCGATTCATGAACGATTTGGTTTATAAACTGTTCGGTTGGTAAGTGGTTTGGTTTATAAACAGTTCGGTGCAAACGGGTTGCAGTTTGTTAATGGTTCAGTGTAAACAGTTTTTGTCCCGGTTCAAACGGTTTTGGGTTAGAAACGGTCCGGTACATTTTCAGTTCAGTTTTATTTCAGTTTGGTTTAGAACTGGTTCGGTTCGTTAACGGGTTTGGTTCTTATACGGTTTAACATTATTCGGATCGGTTTGGTTTTTGATTTACTAAAATACGGTTTGGATCGGTTTTCAGTTTCCAAAAATCGGTTTTTAATCGGCTGCGGTTTCGGTTTGAAATTTGACAGTGTTACTTTCTAAGCTATAAGCTTTTGCAGTTTTTAGCATGCATTTATTTAAGTGGCTTATTCACTTCTTCTGTATATCTTCAGGTTTGTTAGGCCTACAAAGATGAGTGAGCAAAGGATAAAAGAATACATTGAAGGAAAATATGGGAAAATAGGTGTTGACCGGTAAGTTCAAGCTAGGACATGTTAAACATGTATCCTGACCTGATTTATTGTCCTTGTTTAGTAAAATGAAAAACCCATTGCCAACTTTTTTATCTATTTACTTTGAAATTAATCTAGTTGCTTTTAAATTTAAGATGTTGCACTTCTTTTGGCAATTCAAAGTCCATACAAAACTGCTTTAAATTTAAGATGTTGCACTTCTTTTGGCAATTCAAAGTCCATACAAAACTGAAAGGGTTAATTTTCACTTTTTCAGCAATTTGATGCGATAAAGTTTCTGATGTTATGGAGTTGATAATTTGATATAATATTTAAATGTTTGCAGTGTTTGGGATGATACAGCTATACCTTTTAAAGATGTCATTCAAGAATTTGAGGCTTGGATCACTGGTCATAACTTGTGGGAAAAGGAGAGTGGTGGATCCCTATCTAAAGCTGCGTTTGTGACTTGGTGAGTGTTATTAAGTAAACACACTGTAATTTCTGAGTTCATCAACGATTAGATACTGGATTCTTCTTTGTTAGTTAAAGCAAAAGAGGATTTGACTTCATGCCCATTCAGCCCAGTAAACTCCCGTTTATGGCATATAGCTGGAAGACTTATGTAGTTATATCAGGCATAACTATTATATCTTCAAGGTTTTCATGTGAAAATGTCAATAATACCTATCATATACCTGCAGTTGCAGGCGTTGCAGCTGTACATGTAAGTTTGTAGTAAGGGTACAATCGATCCTCTGCAATTTTCCAAATTTCTTAAGTTAACTTGTGATTAAAATTATGTCATTGCATTGTCATCTACTTGTCATTCTTGCATGAAAGTGTGTAGAAGACAGTTGTAAGGAGATGATCAGTGAAGAAGGGTGTTGGTTTGATCCATTCAAGGTCTAGAAAACTATGAACTGGATAACCAACTTTGATTAGGATATTACATTTTGCAGTATCAAACCTATACCCCCTTGACATGTTTAGATGAATATTAGCATGACCTGAATGCTGCATCGTAGAATCTTCAAATTGTCAAGTCTTGGTGATAACATCCTTTATTTATTAATTTTTTTGCAGTACAAAAGTTGGTGCAATGCTAATTGGTTAGCATGTAATTTAATTTGCATTGGGCTGGTCTAATTAGCATATTAGTTGTAAGATTTACATGCCTGTAAGTTGTGCCCTTATTGATTTTGTTTTTGTGGTCTCTCTATTGTCTTATTTAGTTGTTACTTAAAACTCCCTGATTCTCACGTCATTAGAAGTAGAGAACTTAGGCTGCAGACTAGAATATTGACTTTTCATTTTCTGTTACAGTGGCAACTGGGACATCAAAACAAAAATTCCTCAGCAATGTCAAGTATGTGGCATGCAAATCCCCCCTTATTTCATGGAGTGGATTAATTTGAAGGATATCTACTTGAACTTCTATAATAGAACGGTAGGTTATTGTTGGCAAACTGGCAGTTAATTGTTTAGTTCTTGATTGATCCTCAACTGGAGTCTAGGCATAGGAGTTCTATGCTGGCTTGCAAATTGCAATCGTGCATGCTTAATTTTCCATTAGTCAGGACTAGTCGGACTGCGGCTTTGCTGATTCTATCTTTTCCTTTGTCTTTCTGTTCTAACATGACTTGCTTATTCATTATGCCAGGCCAAAGGAATGAGGACCATGTTGGATCAACTTGAAATCCCATTATTGGGAAGTCATCACCTGGGTATCGATGACACAAAGAACATAGCAAGGGTTGTACAACGGATGCTGGCAGATGGTGTATTGATGCAGATTACTGCCAGGCGGAGTCCTGCAGATCCCAGAAGTGTTGATTTTCTTTTTGAAAACCGCATTAGGTATCATTCTTTTTGCATTGTTTTAGTCATGATTGTTGGTTAAGCTTGTTGCATGTTAAATATATAAACTTTGTAGTTGATGTCCCTTTGTCTGTAGGTGAAGATCAGTTGGATTTACAACTGATTGCTGCAGTTGAATCTGTCATGCTAAACTAGAAGATATGTGAGATAGCAACTACTGACACCAGTGGATTCTTTCATAGGAAAATTTGGAGCTTCTAGTTTAAATCTTGAGGGATGCATACTTGCATTGTATATGTAATGGGAGAAGGTGTCGTATTGATGTTGCATGAATCCAAACCTTTTGTCCCACTTTCTATATTCTATATAAAGCCTTTTATTGATATTGCATGAATCCAATCCTTTTGTCCCACTTTCTATGTTCTATATAAAGCCTTTTAGTGGTCCTTGTCACTCAAACCAAACACATTTGAGATTATCTACACCAAAAAAACAACCCCATTGTCCCATTTCAATCATGTATATGAAATTCATCTTGGCTTCCACAACTAATGAGATTGTATCATTTTTTCATCTTTGAATGATATATCACAACTCGCTTTTTATTTCTTCTTATTTTCTAGGGCTACGCAAGTACTTTTTAGTGGAAAGAACTTGTGTTGGACATGGAGGGGCATGAAGCAAAAAATGCATTTGCAATCTTTTTTTTAGTGATTTAGTAGCAGTCAACAATTTATCTCTTAATTAGGTTTGAAGTGTACTACATCATGGTGAACCGAAAATAAATTATTTTTCTAAGAATTCAAGATGAGAATTTATATCGTTTCAGTATATATAAAAAGGAGAAATTAGAAGTTTATCTCCAGAATAAACATGTAACGTTTATCCCAGGTTAATTTTGGTATATTGCCATGGTGAAGTGAGGGTACTCTTGGGATTCATGAAATATGTAGGTGATAATTTGAACACAAAATTGATGGAGTATTCAAGAAGAAGCAAGTGAAGAGGCTCACAAGTAGCTTCAACACAAATGAAGGGCGTTCACAAGCAAATGACAAATATCTACCTAAGGGGTTAACCATTCCCTTTATTTTTATATGTTTTCTTAGGGTTATCTTTGAATTTAGTGGCAAAGCTGTCAGAAATGGTGATGTTGGGTTTGTTGTGGTTATTGACGTTAGTCTCTATTGAAACAACTTGAAACTCCATTAAAAACGTTCTTCATTGAATTTGCTTGTGAGCTTTTTGCCTTTGACACCGTCAAGAAACAACTAAAGTTAATGTTTTCATATTTACCTTTTTTTAAAAAAATTAAAAAATACTTATTAAATGAACTTGCAAGAAAACTAATGCATTTTATTACAATAATGTTATAAGATAAACACTTTTAATTCATCATGAGGATAAGTAAGAGCGCGCTTGGAAAAAAAAAAGCCCCCTTCAACTAATATTGACCTCTTCCCTTTTTCCAAATAATACCCCATCTTTCCACCAGCTAGCATTTAAAGCTTGATGTATTGCCAAAATAGACCCCTCAATTCTCTCATTTCTAGTTGAGGCAATTCCCACATTTTTTGGCGGTAAAAGTGTTTGGTGGGAAAAAATACAACAACGTTCAAGAAAATAACATATCATCCAATATTCCCAATTTCTTTTTTTAAATAAAAAAAAAAAAAAAAAAAAGCCCACTCTCGATAACCACGTGCTTTGGATACCCAATTTAAATTACCCTACCAAATATTCATTTCCAAACAATTTGGACAAAAAAGTGCATAAAAACATTAACTTCTTCTTCAAATAGCGCGTCGTATCACGTGATACTTAGCGCGTGAGATAAAACAAAAAAAATAAAAATTAAGCAAATAATATGAACACTCCCCCCTTTTTTCTGCCCTAGTTCCTCCTTCAAAATAACAAGCGCATGAAAAATGAACTTCGAATGAATTTGAAAACAGAGGAGAGAGAAAAAGTGTGATGATAATGCTGTTATTACCCTAAAAAACTCCAGATTATTCAACATTTTCTTCGTTTGATCGATAATCAATGAGATGATTCGGGATTTTTGTGGATGAAATTTGCATTGGAGTTTCTAGGGTTTATGTGATTGTTTTTTGGGGGATCAAATAGGAGTTGTCGACGAAGAGGTAAGTGTTTCTGAGTTTGATTTGAAGGTTTAATTTGATGAATGTTGGTGTATAATTAGGGTTTTTATTTCTGTAATGTTTGTTGGATGAATAATCGAAAATAGGGGGGTTTGCTCTGTTTTTTTTGAAGTAATTTGTGATGCGAAAATCTGAATCGGAAACCATTTCTCCTTCGAAAGAAGGGAATGGGAACCGGTCGGGTGTAAGAACTCGAAAGAAGCATAAAAGACTTGATGCAATTAGTGAGGAGGTGTATAATAAGAATCGGGGGGTTAAATTGGAGTCTAATGAGGGTACTAGTAGAAGAGGGGAATTAGTGGGGAAGGAGACGGAGCTTCGTCGAAGCTCGAGGGCGATAAGGGCACCGGTGATTCTTGATTCGTCGCCTCCCCCTTCGAGGAAGAGGCGGAAACTTGATAAGTTAGGGGGGAATGTTAACGGGGGTTCAGGGAAGAAGTTGAGGGGGAAGGGGAAAGTGAAGAATGATGGTCCTATTCCGAGTGTTGTGAATTCGGAGGAGGAATTGGGAGCTTTGAGGTTGAGGGTAAGGTCTAGGGGTAAAAGTGAAGGACTTAGTTTGGTAGGTAGTCGGAATAAGGCTCGTGGGAAGAGGAAGCTTTGTTGGGATGATGATGAGGAGATTAATTCTGTAAAGGATGATCCGGTGGAGGAAGAGCCTTGCTTGGATAGTGATAAATCGAAGGTTATGGAGTCTAGTGAACCTGGTAGTGTTAGGGTTTCAGTTGATGATGAGGATGAGGATGTGGATGAGTTGCATGATGATCATTTAGAAGATGGCAACTTGGAAAATGCGGTTGATGCCTTAGGGGATGAAGGTGATGGGGATTGTATGCCCTCAAAAAGTGGTAGAATAGTCGGAAATGAGGAGATTAGCGATGGTAGTCTTGTTCATCTTGTGGATATAGAGAGTGAAGGTCCTAAGGATAATGTATCTATGGAAAATGTTGATAGGATTGACAATATGGTAGGTGATGAGAAGAATCATGAAGCATTGGGTTCATTGAAACATGATGAGGGTGATGAAAATCAAAATCAAGCAGCAGAGGTGACTGCGATGGCTACTGATTTAGCTGAAGATGTGGGACATGATGTTTTAAAAGAGGTTGTTGCAGAAGTTAAGGAAAAACATGCAGAGGTTGATGGTGGTGCAGACCAGGCTGATTGCAATGTTGCTGTTGGTGGGATTCCTAAATCACGTGTAAAGAAGGGAAGACGATGTGGTTTGTGTGGGGGAGGGACTGATGGAAAGCCTCCAAAGGTTACGGCTAATGATTCAGCTGGGAGTGACAATGAGGCATACAGTGGTTCATCTGCTTCTGAGGAATGCAACTATGATCCATGGGATGGTTTTGGTGATGAATCTGGTTGGCTTGGAAGACTCTTGGGCCCCATAAATGACCGATATGGAATTGCTGGAATTTGGGTTCATCAACATTGTGCTGTATGGAGTCCAGAGGTGAGTTGCATGATTCATATTCTTTTTACTTGTCTACCTTTATCCTACATGATAATGTGTTTAATTTGTCTGAAAAGGTTTGAGTCTACTAGGAACATACAAGATATTTTGCTCCTTAGTCCTTATGATTTAGATGCTTTAGCCTTACAAAGTTTGGTAATTTGATCGAAGTTAGGTTCAGCTTCTGAGCAATTGTAAGGATGCTTACCCTATCAATTAATTGTGTCTCTTGAAAGAAATTGGAATGATAATGTTTTAAAATATATTTAAAATTTAATGGCAGATAGCTTCAGATAAAAAGAATAACTTTTAGCTTCATGTGTACTTCCCAGGCGTGTTTACTAATTTCAGACATACACCTGGTGTTTCAATATGTATGTGAATGTGGCCTGAGTTTTCAATTAAAATTTCCTTCTCTGTGTCGGAATCGTGTACCCTCATGCTGCCTCTCAGTTTTTTTTGAAAGCATCCATGGTATACTTGTTTAAGTTGTATCATAAAAATGGAATGAAGAGCATCCCCACCGGTTGTAATGAACAACCTGCTTGCAAATAATTAAAAGTTGGAGCAGTGAGTTTACTAGTGTGAAGCAACACTAGTTGTAGCTTGGTGATATATATGTAGCTCCACAAAGCGGTGTGGTTTCACATATATCCTAGGATACATGGACACTTCATCCAACTGCCATGTTCGTGTCGGACACCGTTTCAGACACCGACACTCGTGGGACACATGACGATATGTCTCGGACCGTATCCTACTATGATATGGGTTGTTCAACTTTTTTTAATTAGAAAATTTAAGTAAAGTAAGATAAATAAGGTAATTGTTAAATAATATGGGTGCCTTTATATATAGCTCATTGTTAATATGATCTAATGAGAGGACAAATATATGGCCAAATTCATTTTTTAAAATATATCATATGAGTTTTAACATCCCGTACCCGTGTCCCTTATTTTGAGATAGACGTTTTCCCGTATCCATGTCAGTACCCGTTCTTGTGCAACCTAGCATATATCATGGTTCCACTTGGCACTTTAAAAGCATTAACTTCCAGAAATTGTGTTGCTAAGGTTGATGTTTGTTGCTTTTCTTTTATTATAAAATAATTTTAACATGTGGGACCCATTTAAGTTAGAAGAGAATGTTGCTTACCATTAGAGGGTAAAGTAGTTTTCTTTATGGTAGTAGATTAGAAAGCTGAGTTGGCAAACATAGCTACAAGGCTTATAGCTCACCATTGCTTTAATTATATTAAATTTTATTCTTCGTCTTTGAATTAATCTTTATTGGTGTATATATACGAGATCTGTGGAAATAATATCATGTTTTATAATCAAACATAAACTGAAACATATATTTTGAAGATAAAAGTTTCAAAAAAAAGGAAAATAAATTCCTTTTCAATTTAATTTGGCTTTAAATTATAGGCGAGGTTTAGTTGACTTTGCTTTAGATACATGTCACACACCTATAGAAACTGAAGGGTCTATAATTTCTCTTCAAATGATTGCCCGTTCTGTTTTTTTTTTTTTTTTTTTTTTTTCCCTTTTATTTATCCATCCATTCCCCTTTATGACCCTATAATATCCAATTTCTATCTAATCGAAAAGTGGGATCATGGAGAGGTTTAATGAGGTAGAGGGTTACTGAAAATGACTTGGTTGGAAGGGGTTAGGAAGGATATGAAGCGTATGGATTTGCATGAGAATGGGGTATTTGATTGTAAAGGATGGAGGAGGAAGATTTTTGTGGATGACTATACGGAATAATCACTTTGATATATAGCCGACCTCACCTATGGGATTAAGGCTTTGATTGATTGGTTGAATCAAATAGATAGGGGGGGGATGCATGCTTAAAACTTGGCTGCCATTTCATCTATATGTCCTTTTGTTTTAAGCATTAAGTTGCTGTTTCAGTACCATTTTTTGTTCAGATGCCTTTAAATACTTCCAAGGCGTTTGAGAGACATAGTGTACACATCTTTTTTGGGGCTCTTGGTTGTATGAAGTTTGTTCTTCCCATGCTTTGATTTAATATCTATAATATTACCAAAAAAAATGTACACGTGTTTGGTGTTTAGGTTATCAAATAGTTAGGATTGGAAATTGCTGACCTTCTGACATTCAATGTTTAATACTTCCTCCGTTTTTTAATACTAATAACACTTCCCTAAAATGGAAATGTCACAATACTTGCAACACACTATAATTGGAGAGTTATTTTGGGAAAAGTTGTACTATTTCCCTTATGTGAAGCACATGGCCCGCTAAATTATACTTCTTAAATACCGTGAAAAAGTGTGTGCTGCAGCTATTAAAAAATAGAGGAAGTAGCTGGTAACATCGGTCCATATATTGTTTTTTTTTTTGGCTCTCGACAGCCTGTCAGCTTTTTCTTTTGAGTTCCTAAGAGCATTATGATGTGTACCAGTTTATGCTATTTTTTTTCCTCATTCAAAAAATTTTGTTGTTGACTAATGTCTGTAGGTTTATTTTGCTGGCTTAGGGTGTTTAAGAAACATCAGAGCTGCACTTTGTAGAGGAAGGGCGTTGAAATGTACCCGTTGTGGAAGACCTGGGGCAACTCTTGGGTGCCGTGTGGATCGGTGTCCAAGAACTTACCATTTGGTAAGGAGCCATCTAACTTTTGTTCATAGCTTATTGCAGGCAGACCTTTCATTTTGTCAAATTCTCATCTTATGCTAACCCTTTTGATGTTGATGTGAATTTTCTACTGCTCATATTGTGATCTTGTCCAGTATCTTGTATACCTTTGAAAATTGTTGTTATTGTCTGCCATTTATCGACGCATGTGTTGTGTGTGCTCTTCTTACACATTGTCTCATAACTCTAGATCGTTTGCAGTCAGAAGGTTTAAACTTTCATCAATTGATTCAATTTATTGTTTCTGTTGTTGATTGGTTATTTCCCAATTTACTTTCCACAGCCTTGTGCACGAGCTAGTGGCTGCATATTTGATCACCGTAAATTTCTTATAGCCTGCGCTGATCATCGGCATCATTTCCAACCTCATGGGTTTCAATATGCACAACATATGAAGAAGCTTAAGGCTAAGAAGGTGAGGTTGGAACTGAGAAAGGTGTCAAATGATGCTTCACGAAAAGATCTTGAGGCAGAAGAAAAGTGGTTGGAGAAGTGTGGTGAGGATGAAGAATTTTTGAGGCGTGAATCAAAAAGGCTTCAGCGTGATTTGTTAAGAATTGCCCCTGTGTACATAGGGGGCCCACATTCTGAAGGTCAGAAATCTTTTGAGGGTTGGGAATCTGTTGCAGGACTCCAGGGTGTCATACAATGTATGAAAGAGGTTGTCCTCTTGCCTCTTCTGTACCCAGAGTTTTTTAAAAACATGGGGATTACACCACCCAGAGGCGTTCTATTGCATGGTTATCCTGGAACAGGCAAGACTCTAGTTGTGCGCTCATTGATTGGGGCCTGTGCTCGTGGGGATAAACGCATAGCTTATTTCGCCCGGAAAGGTGCAGATTGTTTGGGAAAATATGTTGGGGATGCTGAGCGACAGCTTAGACTTCTCTTCCAGGTTGCCGAGAAATCTCAGCCTTCAATAATTTTTTTTGATGAAATTGATGGGTTGGCACCTGTTCGTACGCGGCAGCAAGACCAGACTCACAGTTCAGTGGTATCCACCTTGCTAGCCTTAATGGATGGCTTAAAGTCTCGAGGATCTGTTTATAGTTATAGGTGCTACAAACCGTCCTGATGCTGTAGATCCAGCTTTAAGACGCCCTGGAAGGTTTGATAGAGAAGTTTATTTTCCACTACCTTCAACGAATGATAGAGCTGCTATTTTGGCTCTTCATACAAGAAAGTGGCCTAAACCAGTATCTGCTACTTTGCTGGAGTGGGTCTCTGCTAGAACTGTGGGCTTTGCCGGTGCAGATCTGCAAGCTCTTTGTGCTCAAGCAGCTGTTATCGCCTTGAAAAGAAATTGCTCATGGCACCAAATTATTTCTTATGCTGAAAACAATCTTGAGCAGGGAAAACGTCCACAGCTTCCTTCATTTGTGGTGGAAGAGAAAGATTGGTTGGAGGCTCTTTCCCTTGCTCCTCCTCCATGTTCCCGTAGAGAGGCAGGGATGGCTGCAAATGAAGTTGTTGGCTCTCCTCTTCACATGCATCTTATTCCTTTCCTGCTCCAGCCACTTTTAAGCTTGATGATATCTCTATATCTTGATGACCGTCTCTGGTTACCTCGTCGTCTCGTATATGCCACAGCAGCCATTGAAAGGGTTGTTGTTTCAGTTTTGGAGAAAAAAGGTTTGCAGAGTGATAAATGGTGGTGCCATGCACAAGATATGGTGCAAGATGCAGAAACTACTAAAGAGATTGTGAGAAATCTTCTCATTGCTGGAATCCTAGAAGGAGATGCTTCTTCCGCCAGTTGTGATATGTCAAGTGATACTTCATCTGGGGATGGTGGATTTCGCTCATCTGATCTTCATGTCAATACTTCTGGTTCACACCAAAAATTTTGTGATGCTCTATCAAAGAAAATAGGGTATAGGATAATGATTTCAGGGGATCCAAGATCTGGCCAAAAGCATCTTGCTTCGTGCCTTCTTCATTGTTTTGTGGGCAATATTGAAATGCAGAAGATTGATTTGGCTACAATTTCACAAGAGGGGCATGGCGATATGGAACAAGGCATTTCAAATATTTTAAGTATGTCATGCTTCAGTCTTTTCAAATCATTCTATTATAAAGGGTAAAATTGAATGCTTTTGCTAGGCTGAAAGTCTTCTTATGTTGAAGACAATAACTGATTATTTTGTTGATTTTTTTTGACATTGACAATTTCTAAAATAACCAAGAAATTGTAGGCTGCTATGTTTTGTATTCTGTATAGAAGAATTTCTACTCCTGATTGTGGGAACGGGAGGAAATGAATATACAATTGTGCTTGTCCCTAATGAGAGGAGATCAGAGAATAGTCATAACCTGAATCTAATTTGATTTCAGATGTCTATGAAATGTCAAATGTTCCAGGTTTGACATTATTATTCATTTACTGATGCCACCTCCCCCTCTCCCTCCCCCTCCCCCTCTTTTCTCATTCAAAATTATAGCCATGTGCTATGAAGTTTATGGAAGTTAATATTATGTACTAAGGGAGGTTTAAAGTAATGGAGTTGAACAATTGGATACAATTTGAAGAAGCTCTGGAAACTGGAATATACCCCCCTTGTGTTTTTCTATAATTCTATAACCTCGTCCTCTATTCCTCAACCATTCAAAATAAGTTCTGGTTTAGCTGCAAGGCAAATATGAGCTGCTGTCCTAGCTGATTAGTTGTCCCTAATGAGAGGAGATCAGAGAATAGTCATAACCTGAATCTAATTTGATTTCAGATGTCTATGAAATGTCAAATGTTCCAGGTTTGACATTATTATTCATTTACTGATGCCACCTCCCCCTCTCCCTCCCCCTCCCCCTCTTTTCTCATTCAAAATTATAGCCATGTGCTATGAAGTTTATGGAAGTTAATATTATGTACTAAGGGAGGTTTAAAGTAATGGAGTTGAACAATTGGATACAATTTGAAGAAGCTCTGGAAACTGGAATATACCCCCCTTGTGTTTTTCTATAATTCTATAACCTCGTCCTCTATTCCTCAACCATTCAAAATAAGTTCTGGTTTAGCTGCAAGGCAAATATGAGCTGCTGTCCTAGCTGATTAGTTGTATGACCTTATTGTTAATGCTTCCATGATCAAATATGATTATGACATTTGAAATGCTTCTCATTGCTTGTCATTATTGCAGTGAAATGTGCCAGTTTGAAGATGTGTGGTTTATTCATGCCCAGGATTGATCTGTGGGCTGTACAGTCATGCCCGAGTGTCCAGGAAGATGTTGAGGTTGCAACATTACATCAGTCTTCCAAGGAATCCTTGTCAACATCTTGTTCAACTGGTCATGAGAACTGTAGTCCCATTCCAAGCAAATCTGAACCAATGGAAGTGACAGCATGCCAATACAAAGATTGCAGTGCCTCCCAGATATGGAGATCTTTTGTGGAGCATCTAGAATACATACGTGTATCCTCATCCCTTATCATACTGGTGATTTTTCTCTCTTCTATTCTGCCTCTTACCCTTCCTTCTCACAGGAATGGGGTATATATCCTTGTCTTGATGTCTTCTCTTTTTTACTTTATCTGTAACTGTTCCTTGACTTAGGAGAGTGAATTTTTTATATTCTTAAATTGTGATTTTGGGAATGATGGAGCTTCATAAAATATTCCATCCAAGGATTCTCAATTTTCTATGTTTGGGGCGAGAAACAATTTTTTTCAAGGGTGGAAAATAGCTCTCCCAAAATATGGAAACATCTTTCTTGTGTAAGAATGGGAAGCCAAGTTTTTTCCCTACTCCTTGCTTCCCCTCATTTTCTCCTCCAATCCATCTATTCCCTTCCCCTTCCATTTTCTTTGTCTTTAAGTTTTCTTGCAAGGAACTGAACAATTGAAAACTAGTTTGTACCTGTGTTTTTCCTAGAAAACTATCTTCCACGAAAAATCATATTTCATTGAAAATATTTTCCATTAAACCAAACAGAGCTTTACAATCAGAAGTAAAGGGAACTTATTGGTTGTAGGCTAAAGAATGAGGGATAAGTGGAAAGAAAGGGAAAAAACTACCACCACCACAAACAATAACAAGGGATACCACCCTACAACCCTCCTCTCTAGATTGCGACACTAGTAAGAAAGGTTGGCCTTCTTTTTCTCTCAATCAGATTTGTGGGTGGTTTTTTGGGTTGCGACAGTTGGCTAGTTGGGTGAATTTTCGTGGTAGGTGGATAGATTTTGAGGTGGTAGAGTGGTTTTTGGGTGGTTAGGTTTGCTTTTGGGGTGGGTTCGTTGGTTTTCGGGGGCGAATAGGGGAGTTGGTGAGGTGGTTGGTGGATAAAGAGTTTAGTGTTTGTAGATGGGGATTGGTGGGGTCAGACAGTGGTATAGTGTGATGGAGTGGTGAAGGTGGTTGGGTGTAAAGGAGTTTTTGGGTTAAATGATTCCATTGTTTGGGGTGTTGGGGGGAGGGGGGATCATAAAGTGGGAGGAATTTATAAAAATGACTAACAAACGACGAAAAAGGGAATCAAGGGTGTGTCCCTTGGCCCGTAGGTCCTGACACAAGACTTGCATTTTGAATCTCTTTTCCTCCTTGAAATCTCCAAAACAATTCCCCCTAAGATGTCATATTTCATTTGTATGTCTGCTATTATATGTTTATAATGAACACTTGGCACAAGGGTTCTTATGTTATCCCGGAATTGACTGCTTATTTGTTGTTTTCATGACTAGGCTACATCAGAGATTCCAAGTTCAGCTCTTCCTCCAGAACTGCGTCAGTTCTTTGGCTGTGACATTTTAACATCTGAAGGGTCTGTTCATTCGGAGTATGGAACTCCCCGATTTTCTGTGGAGGTGGAAAGGGAGTTTCACCATGATAAGTTGATCCATTCGGCTGCATTGGACTTATCACAGGATCTGATTCAACAATTTGTGCAACTTGTTCACATTGGAAATCATGGTGATTCAGATTCAAGTACTGCCTATAATGCTCGTCATGGAGGTAAAGTTGATGTGTTAAGTCACCAAAGTGAACTCAAATTAATGGAGGAACCTAGAGCAAAACCAGAACTGGCAGAAGGCTCTATTGCGAAATTGCCAGCGCCATCTGCATCTAGAAATGGCAAAGGAAAATCATCCGTGACGTTGGCTATAACTGCTTTTGGCTATCAAATTCTGAGGTACCCACATTTTGCTGAACTCTGTTGGATCACTTCCAAGCTGAACGAAGGTCCAAGCACTGACATCCGTGGACCTTGGAAAGGATGGCCATTTAATTCTTGCATTGTACGCCCTTCTAAGTCAGTAGCAAAGGAAACTGTTGCATGCAATTCTAACAGCAGTAAAGGTAAGGACCAGTTTACATTGGTTAGAGGCCTATTAGCTGTGGGCTTGTCTGCATATCGAGGAGTATATACATCTCCGCTGGAAGTTTCTCTGGAGGTAAGGAAGGTGCTTGAGCTCCTCATTGAGCAAATAGCTACCAGGATCCAGGCAGGAAAAGACAGATACCAATATTTTCGCCTTTTGTCCCAAGTTGCTTACCTAGAGGACATGGTTAACAGCTGGTCTTACTCATTAAAAAGGTATGGTTTCATTAATGTGCTGGTAAATTCTTTTGTTCCGCCTGAGTTGTCTGACCGAAATAATGTTGAATTTCAGCTTAGAGGCAGATGCTCAAACATCTATTGTGAACTCGAAGCTAAATGGTGCTCAGTGTCCTGAAACTCTGCAGCCTCCAGCTGCTAAGCCTATGCAAGTTTTAGAAGACCCAATTGAGGAGAGCCTGCAGGGCTGTATTGCTGGAAATCCTTTACACACACCAGGTGACAATTCTATGCAGGTTGAAACAGAGCCTAATATTCCAGGTAATGGTTTTCAGCAGCCAGAACTTGAACTAGTGCTGCCAGAAACTATTGATGTAAGTGCTCAACCTGCTGATTCAAACATGGGAACTATTGATTCTGGCAATGACAATCTGACGGAGGCAGTGAGCCTTGTTGAAGAGTCTCAATCAACAGCTGCGGCTACAATCCATATTGCACAGGATGTTCATTCTGAAGTAAAGGTTGCAAATGAAGAAAAGGAATCAGCTAACCAAATACTTTCAGGGAGCAATATTGTGTCTAGAACCTACTGTGTGGGTTCTGTTCATCAATCGTATATTATAATACCCCAGAAATTTACAGGATCTGAAGAGCCAGAGTTGGAACATTTTGAAGATATTTCCGTCACTGGTGGACACATGCAGACTAAACAAGAGTCTAGTCAATTGGCTTGTACAGAATCTCTTGATCAACTAGCAGCCGGTATTTGTAACTCAGGAAAACTTGAAAACACTGAGCTCCATGTATCCAGTGAATTCTGCAATCAATCTATTACTGAACCCTTGGTGGAATATGAACAATCTTCTGAAGCTGCAAATTGTACAAGTGATCTTCAGCTCCATGATTCCAAGTCTTCTCAGAGCAGTGATTTGCCATCAGAGTCTGAGGTTATATGCTCTTACAGTTGTTGCAGTGAATGCATTTATACTCTTCAACAATTGCTAAAGAAAATAATCGCCCAAGAGTGGAAATTATCTTCATGTTGCACCGTGGAAGATGTCCATGATCTTGTTTCAGCACTATCCTCAAGTCTGTGCTCAACTATAAGGAATCTGTATAGCATTGAAAGATGCAGTAACTTCGAGAATGGAGGTCTGAGAAAGCTTGAATCTCAGGAAGAAAATGCTTGTCAATGTGAGGCTTCAGAAAATAAGCTGGCAAATCTTGTTGAATGTGTTTGTCATTCAGGGAAGGAGTTTTCTAAGAGAGTCTATTTTTCTACATACAACCAACCCGAATCCAGTCTGACTTACCTTTTTAGGAACGGTGTCTTGATTTCTGCAAATTCTGACGATTCTTCTTTCCATTGTAAATATGATAACTTGTGCCTATCTTCTTTGATAGAGGTGATAGAAGACACTAGACAGCCTTTAGATTGATCTAGTGTTCATGTAGTAATCATACTGGCTTGGAAAAGCGCAATTTTGGCAGTGTTATGGTATTCAGATTCAAGATCGATCATATACTATGAGATGCATGAATATGGATATTTGCTATAGGACCATATAGTACATTTTATTGACATAGCTTGTTCTAGCGCAATGAAATTAGGGCTAATGAAATTAGGGTTGGTTTATAATTCCTATCATAAAAAATAAATCCTCCGTTCTTTTTTTATTGCACCATGAGTGATTTCACGCTTGTCAATGCATTAATTTGCCTATTAATATCTTTAATTAAGTCATCTCAAAATTGTTAATTACTAACACCTGCATTATTATAGGAAATGAGCTTCATACACTCTACTTAAGTTCCAATTCCTCGCTATCTTTCACCAAGGCTGCCACCATCTCACCATTAAGGCACCCATCAGGCCAACTCCTTCGGCACAACCATTGGTAAATGCAGTACACATGGACGACGAGCAACCGTCCATGCAGCGCAAGTCCTCAACATAGCTGTGGCTTTTGTCAGTTTCTCGTTAATCGAATACTCTAAAGGTAAAGAGTCGACTGTCACCCTGAAAGCCAAATATTGCATTATTGAAAAAATAGGTACAATTTACGAGTACAAGTTTGCCACAAGAATATTTATGGGCCTATTTGAATTCGTTTAAGGTGTACACCTAACTTTGTATGACTATATTTTTATGTGGGATTGTGGGTAGTAAATATCTATAGCAGTTACAACAAGAATATTTTTTATTTTTTTAAAAATCTAGCAATGGAGGCTAGAAAAACCATCCCAAGGGAAACACTAGAGGGAACCAAAAAACCCCCAAGGAGAAAACCTAGAGGGAACTCATTCCTTAGATAGTTAAACTTCTTTTCAGTTGTAACACTTTTTTATTTTTGGAAATTGTTAATTACTTACAACACTTTTCATTTTTGAAATTTCTTTCTTTCTATCTCTCTCCTACCCACATGGATCCCTTTTATTTTTCTCTTTATTTCTCTCCTCTTCAAAAATTATCTAGGAGACAGTGAAAATAAAATTGTTACTCCCTTTGTCCCATAATACATGACACAGTCAAGCATCACACGCATGTCAATGCACTAGTTTGACTTTATTTTTATATAATTAAATATAATGAAAATTATTTTAAAAATTATAATATGAAACTTTGTATTAAAACCTATCTAACAACATATTTTATGATAAAATGTATTTTTATTATGTTGGTATAAAATTATTGTCAAACCTAATGCATGAATAGTGAAAAAAAGTCCAACGTCTCATGTATTACGGGACGGAGGGAGTACAACTAAAAAAACGAAGGATGTAGTAATACTAGTACTATACTCCCTCGGTTTTTTTTTTTTAAATGCATCAGTGTGACCGGCACATTTGCTAAGACGCAACTTTGATCTTTAATATCTTTAACTGTCTACTAGTAAAAATTATAACAAAATTATATTATGAAACTAGACATTATGACTAATCTAACGATATATTATACGGATTTTTCACCAAATGCCACTGAGTTATTGCGTAATTCACCATATACCATAAGAAACTTTCTAATACACAAAATACCACTCAGTTAATGTACATTAACACAAAATGACATTTTTGGTAACTGTCGTTAGTCTGCCGTTTGGGGTAATTTACCATTTCACCAAATACCATTATTTTATAAGTTATTGCACCGTATACCATTTAGTTTAAAGTTGTTTCACAGTATACCCATAAGTTTACAACGGTTTTTTTTTTTTAAAAAAAAAGTAGCCGTTGAACAGTAATAACGGCTACTTTTGTGTATATAAATGTAGTTGTTGAGGGATTCACGTACCAAGTAACACTTCTAAAAGCATTTGTAAAGATGTCCACACACTCGAGATCATCATCATTGGTACGACTGTCGCATGTCTACCAAAAATAAACCTAACTAAAACCTCCTAAAATGTAGTAGGGTAAGCTAGGGTCGATCCCACATAGAATTAGATTATCAAATTATTACTTGTGTATGTTAAAAACCCTTGTTTTGAACAATGACTATTACGATCTAATATAAAAAAAAAAACTACGGACTTGAAAATAAGCTAAGTACGGAGATGTAAAATTAACAGTACGAATAAATATTAAAAATCAAGACTGACGAAATAGGGATCGGGAGATACAATATAACATTGGAAAATCGATTGATCATCGAATTATATAAATCATGTTTTTATCTCAATGTTAGCCGATGAACACAAACAAACATTCAATACTTCCCTTAATTGCAAATAAACCAAACAAGCTCTTGGAGTATTGTCTAACTAACTAACAATCTAGAACAAGCTCTCTAGACTCGATTAATTAGTAGCATTAATAACTAGAAAGTAGCTAACTTAAGCCACAAATCTCACAAGCTCGGACTTGTGCAACTCAAAGGGTTGATAACCTTAGGCATTATAACAAGCTTTAGTCACCTATTAAACACCTAATTGCTACCAAGGGAAATTAACAAGGATAATTACGTACCACAAGTTAAAATCCTAGCAATCAAACTAGAAGATTATATTAAAGATGGCCGGTCTAAAATATAATTCAACCAATTTATACCAAAAAAATAGACTATCAATCCAATCAAGATATAAACATAATACCCAAGAATTACAACATATCTATTCTCACAAAATCAATAATCCAATGCATAATATATTCCCCTACCCTAAATTAATTAGCCTGACATGTTAAGAATAAGAATAAAAGTAGAAACTATGGAATTCATAATTAACAAAGCAAAGAGTAATTGAAAATGAAAACTTGATAAACTAAGTAACCAAGTTCTAATACCAACCACGAAAATGGTGGAAAGTAAGAAGCAAAACGTGACTTTTCCACTTCAATTATTAAAACAAAATTATAGTACTACCAAATTAAGTAACTGACAATCAATTTGGCTAATACCACGAAGAGAATAAGTTTGCCGCTGTCGCTGCTCCCTTCCCCCGAAGATGTCAAGTATCAGCCCCCTCTATCATGCAATTCGGTTTCTCTCCTCCGTCATTCGCTGCCCAGAGTAATCCCCAAATTAATCTCTAGAATCCCCCAAAAATACGGGACTCGATTGCCTTTCCTGTTTTCGGTGTAGCTGATCTCCAGCTAATCCGAATCTCTCGCTCCAATTTTATCCAATTTCATCTTTATCTTTTCTTGCTTGAAAATTTGATTTCCCGCAAGAATCGGTGAGGGGATTCCCTGTCTGGCTTACCCGCAATAAACAGTGAGACAATGAAGAGTTTGAGCTGCTCTCTTCTTTCTAATATGTTGTGTGACAGCTTGTTATACTTCAAGGCCCAACTGTAATAGCTTACACAATAAAACAACATTGGGCTTGAAATAGTTGAGAGTCAATGGGCTTGTAAACTTTGCTTCTCTTAACCGGAGTGTCGTAATATGCAGTTTGTGCCCATATTTTCTTTCCTACACACAAATAAATACAATAGTAGTAGTACGTGCTTCTGGAAGAAAATTACTTAATATATCATTAAACCATTAAATATCAATATAAAATCGAGAGTTTAATAAAATAAAATAATATACTTTTATGACTCTATCAATTATCGTCGTCGTCTTTCGATTGTTCATACGTAAGAGTGTCAAACAAAGCTTGTTCTTGTGGTAGGAAGTTTGCAATAAGGAGCTTTGATTCGGCAAAAAATCCACAAAGGTTGTACTATAAGTGTGATGTATGTGAGACATTCAGATGGTGCAAGGGTAATGTGGAGCAAAATGTCCCGTCGGGTAATGAAAATCAAAGCAGGGGAGGGATAGACACGCAATTCCATGGAGGTGAGAGGTTGTTGAAGCAAGAGTTGAAGGAGCTGAAGAGAAGAGTAGCAAAGCAGAAAAAGCTAGTAAATGTAGCAATAAAAATAGGAGTAATTATGTTTATGGTTATTGTATTTGTAGCCTTGAAACGATTGATGTGAACAAAATTTCATTGCTTAAATAAATTTGCACCTTGATTTGAACTTGGTATGTCTAAAAATTGTGGCTTCATAATTGTGCAATAGTTGTATTACATTTCTTGGAAATTCAAAAACATGTTTATGCCAAACAACCAAGTACTTAACATTTAACATTGTGTTAAAAAAATACCTGGTATATAACACCTAAGTTTTAAAAGTTTTCACCAAAAAATTACATATCATATCATGCCTGGCAGCTTTAAGGATGCTAACTGACAACCTTTCTCTTCTTCCCCCTCCCTTTGCCTTGCTGTGAAGTGCTTTCTATATTTTCTGCCTTTTTTGCTGCTGCCTTTCTTGCCTTACAGGTTAAGGCATTGTGTCCAAGTTCTTTGCAAAGACTGCATTTGTTGTTCTTGTGCCTCTTTCCTCTCCTTGCTTCATGAGGGGCTCTTCTTCTCTACTTAGCTGGTCTGCCTGCACTTCTTTTGACAATTGGTAGTGCAATGTCAGGCACATCAAGTGCTGGCCAGTGAGTCAGATCAGCCATGGGGTGGATGTGGACTGCATAAGTCAGCTTATATGCAGCCCCCTTGAAGTATGGTGACACAAAATCCCTGGCTTAAAGTCTTTGGCTGTAAATGACCCTGACCTGATCCTTTCCATTTCCCACACCCACAAGTCATATTCCCAAGTGTGACAAGGAACTTGACATGGCCAACCCTGACTTCAAATTCTCCACCACCGGCTGCTGTCACATGACAGAACCTAGACTCATCACTCCTTGTCTCCAAAATCCCTTTAGCATACTCTGTGAGCTCATTAGGTTCCATATTAACTGCTTTATCAAACCTAGAGCCCATCCTTTTCATGCACCAATTCCTTACAGCTGATTCAGTCCCAAAAAAAAAAAAAAAAAGTAGACAAACATATCACAATTAATATTAGAACATTGTGCATAAAACTACCATTTGCATGCATGAAATTCAAAAAATGTGGCACAACATTTTACCTTCCAGTAATGTCAGCACATACATATCTCTGTTGGGCTTTGTGCATGCATTGAATGGCTCAACAAAGTTAGTTGTGTTGTGATCACAACAAACAATTCTGTCAAACTTGTGCACACTCCATTGCTCTTCAACCCCTGTAATTATACGATACTGAAATGATGTTGCATCATACTCCTGAATCTTAGACATTGCTTTTCCATACACATATTCATTGTATGCATTTGCTCAATCCAAAAGAGCTTATGAAATTCTGTCCTACTCCATCCTACAGTCTTGCAATTTGAGTACAAATGCTGGCAACATACTCTTCTAGTTGTTCTTGGGAACACCTCATATAGAGCTGATTAAACACCCTTCCAAAAACATGGCAAAGTTAGATAGTGGAGCTCAAGATTACCAACACAAATTTTAAAAAAGGAGAAACTTACCCTCATCCTGTCACTTATAAAAGTCCAATCATCCTTTTCAGATCCATACTGAGCAAATAAGCACCTTAGGTTTCTGAAGAAATAAGTCCATAAATCTATACTCTCTATATCAACAAGAGCATAGGCTAATACAAAAATTTCATTATTCCCATCAATTGAAACTGCAGTGAGCATAATCCCTTTGTAATAGCCACTTAGGTGTGCACCATCTATTCCTATGATAGGTCTGCAACCACCCAAGAATCCTTTGACCTGAGCTGCAAAAGATATGAAACAAGCCTTGAATATGGAACTCTAATCCCCATTGTCAGTCCATGTAACAAGAGCATATGACCCAGGATTTGTGGCCTTAATCATCTCTGCATACTTTGGTAGGAGTGCATAAGACTGAGCAAAATCACCATGTATTTGCTCCCTGGACAAAGTCTTCACTTTGTACAACAATCTCAGCTTGACATGGATCCCGTACCTTTCCATGCACACTCTTTGCAATGATTCAACTGGAATCTCTGGGTTTGCCTCCAAATCTTGTAGCAAATGTCTGCAAAGCCATGCTGAAGAGACCATAGGATTCTCTTCCAGCCTCCCACAAGTTGTATGTTCTCCTTCTAGCTTCTTTATAGCCCAGCTGACTTTATCTTTGAGGATTGCTGCATGAATCCTCCAATTGCAATCCCTTATCAAACACTTTGCAATGTATCTGGTATTGTCAGCATGATCAACCACAACAGAGAAGCCTTCTTGTATGCAGTAATATCTGAATACCTCTTGAAATTGTGTTCTAGTTTCAGAAATTAACCATGGTTCAAGTTCAATGGACCCAAATGGTAAGTGAGACCATATTTTGCCATTTCTATACAACTTATCTAAAACATGGACCCATCTAAGTAATCTTCAAAGGTCTTCTCAAGGATATCATCAGGTAGATCTTCTTCTTCCACAATGTAGTCTTCCTCAATGTTCAAGTCCATTTCCAAATCATCCTCAACATCAGAAACTTCATAATCATCATCTTAACTATCATCAGAAGGCCATGCATCAGACTCATCATCACTTTCCTCAACAGGCATAGGTTTTTTGCTCCTAGTATTCACTTGCCTCCCTGCTCCTTTTTTATTCTCCACCACAATACCATACTTTTTTTGATGTGCTTCTAGGCACTCTCCACTCTTTGGGTTTAATTCTAGTTTGTTTTTTGGTCTGGGTTTGTTTTTTGCTCCTAGTATTCACTTGCCTTGGTGCAGTAGATGTTGGTTGTGGTGGTGGTGGTGGAGGTGGTGTAGGCTGCCTGGCTTGGTGTGTTGGTGTTGGTGGTGGAGAAGGATGCTCTTGGGATGCATTTGGTGGTGGAGGTGTGGGCTGTCTTGGTTGACTGGATTGTGTAGGTTGGGTTTTTTTCTTCTTTGGAGTTATTTTTTTTTCTTCTTGGAGTTTTCTTTGGTGGTGATGGTGTCTTACTTTTTTCATTTGTGGAATGTTCTTTGGGTTGAGGTGTTTCTTGTTGTGAGGGTTGAGGTTGAGATTCCCCTAGAAATACCTCATCAGCTGCTGGGGTGTTAAATACCCTAACATAGTCAACCTCATCATCATCTGCATCCACAACATGGACCTCTACAGCCACAGTAAATGACTGCTGGGCCATAAGCTCCCCCTCAGCTTCTGCTGCATCTGCCTTTCTCCTGGTCTCTTCCTTCATTAGCCTAATTTTTTCAGCCCTGTTCTTCAAAGTTTTTGCCCAACTAGCTTCTGCAGACTGAAACACAAGAGATGGTGTTTCTGTCTCTTCTATGAACACTTCTACTTCATTCCTCCCTTCATTCCACTCCCACATTTTCAACATTGCCCCATCATCAACTAACTCTAACTTACGATCGATTGGTTCTAGGTTTACTCACAAACAAGGTGAAGTATTTAGGGAGGAAAACATTCCGCTTGACTGAATCCTCAAACATGTACTCAAACAACTCCATCAAATTGGTCTTATAAGTGTCATCGATCCACCCTAACATCAAAATCACCACTTGGAGAACGAACTAACAGCCACATTGCACTCATCCTAAGAAAGAATGATAAACAACAACATTTAACAACAGCATATTGCATCACAATCCAAACAACAATTCGCATACAACACATCAAAACTAACTTTCATATAATCCAAATTCGAATTTAATAGCATACCAACCAAATTGACATATGATCATTGTCGAATAACCCCTAACCCTAACTCAATTTCGCAAAAAAAACAACAAAATCAGAGATCGAAATGCAAATCGATAAGGATAGTAATACCTTGAGTATGCTTAGTCCAGCCTAGGTGCGAACTTGGTGCGAAATTCAGTCACGAACACCTTTCTCTCTCTCAAACCTCATCAAGCTGCTTCTTTGTTCAATCGTAAGCCCCAATTCACTTTCCTACTTGCAATCTACCTTACACCTTTGAAAGTTTGAAGCTTTTTGATTGATTTTTAGGGTTCAAGTGTAATGGAGAAGAACAGAGAGTAGCTTCAATGGAAAAGGGAAATAGGGGGTCAATTTTTTTGAAGTGGAAACCCTCAACCCTGTCAATGGTGCCATTTAGATGTATAAGGGCATAATGGTAAATTACCCCAAACGGCAGACTAACGACAGTTACCAAAAATGCCATTTTGTGTTAATGTACATTAAGTGAGTGGTATTTGGTGTATTAGAAAGTTTCTTATGGTATATGGTGAATTACGCAATAACTCAGTGACATTTGGTGAAAAATCCGTATATTATATACTAACATTTATTCATTTTAAAGAGGTGAAAAAATTAAGTCAACCATGGTATGTGAATAGTGTAAAAGTCAAAGTAATGCATTTTGACGTGTCTTCAGTCTTGGTATTTAAAAAACACTTATGCCGACGCTTAGCAAAGCGCTTGCTTTGCTCGTGCCGCTATCCACTATTGTGACACAATTTGTTTGCATCGGTATAACATAATTTTAGCGTCGCTAATAGCTAACCGCGCATTAAAAGCGCCTCAATAGATCTGGTATACATTGCCAATTTAAGTACCTAGTGAGGCATACTAATAGCTCTTAGCGACGCTTTCAAAGTGCTGTAATTTTTTTGCAAAGCGCATCCTAAATTTTTGTTTGGTTTTCTTATAAATATCTAGAGAGATGCACAATATGTCAATATATAATCCCAATGTAACGAACAGTGGCACAATGCTTATAGCCCATTTTTTATTGTCAATCTTATAATACTCATATATTGCAAACGTAATTGTACATACATAAATGATTTGATAATACAAAATTTATAAAGATTAATGTAATACATTCTGATAGGTTTCTAAATAAAATACATAAATTCAATTCATAAGGGACTTGCAAAATTATCTAGAACATAAGCTCCACAATAAACTTTAACTAAAATATACTTCGTACTTCGTATAAAAATAAAGATCATCTTCATGGGGTCATTTTTGATCCATCTTCAATAGTTATAGATTTCAGATCGAGATTTTCTAGAATATATATATATATATATATATATATATATATATATATATATATATATATATATAATAATAATAATAATTACTTAATACAAAGTGTAAGAAGAGAAAATAACACTTACATATGTTTAAAGACTAAAGCTCATCATACCTTATTTGGTTCTACCATTCCCATATACTGCATCTCAAATATTGTGTTCCAATGTACATGTTGCAACCTTGATCACAGTATTATCATTTCATTTACTTGATTCAACTAGCTAGCATTCCTAGCTACCATACATAAAAGACATAAAAAATTTAGTTCTATATAACTTTTTTTCAAATACAATATTAGCCTAAGCCCTGAGCTTAAGACTTTTAAGGAACTGATAACTATTGAATTCCTCTAAACTTACTTGATGTTTCTCTTCTCCATAAAGCTAAGAGTTATGTACCTGTTTGACAAATTACTCCAATACTTCAACTCAACTAGAGATTAGATCCACGCCTACAATCCTTGATGCTTCGTACACTATTGCACCATAGTAGCTTAAAATAAAGTAAAAATATATTTTAGTAGAATAAAGTTAATAAACTCACAAAAATTGTTTCAAGATGCAACATAACACCCAAGATCAAACCCACCCCTACCCATCTCATCAATAAAAAAACTAAAAATATTATAACAAACCCACAAAATAAAATTGTTAACATATCACCCCAAGCAACTAGCATATAACAAAATTATCAATTGTAATAGGTACTCAATTTTGTATCTACAACTTTACAAACATCAATATGATATTATATACTACTATGGAAAATAGAAAAAATTTCTTACATTTTACAACATGTAACAACATGTATAAAATTGAACTCATATTTCAGTATTTATTTTACAGGCCTTTTACTTCATTAATATTACACCCTTAACTATATATATAAAGATAATTAGGAGTATCCTTAACTAATATATATATATATATATATATATATATATATATATATATATATATAACCAAAAGAGTTTGTCAACAACTCCAAAGTTTGTCAAATTGATTGTTCGCACGTTACCTTGAAAATTGTGAGTGAGAAATAGCTCAAGTGGTTCCAAAAGAACTTGGGATTGATTCTTGTCATTAGCCCTTGTGAAAAAAAAAGAGAAATTCTCTTTGGTAACACTGTAGTTTTTAATTTTCTCAGTAATGAATTGTGAAAATTCTTATTTTTTTGGTAAACTTGAATTTTTTATATTAAGCCAACCATGACATTAATGATAAATTGTAGTTAAATATTTAACTATAGTTAGTTTATTTATTTATTTTATTACTATTTTTTTACTTTAATTCCAAAAAAAAAAAATTTATACAAAAAAAAAAGCCACCCCTTTCCCCACCAACCAGCCACCACTCTCCGCCCCCACCCACGCCGGCACCCAACTCCTCTCTCGTCAGCGCGCCGGCTTCCCCCTCCCCTTGAACCAACAACAGCCAAGATCGCAACCATACAACAGCATCAATCAACTAACCACCTTCCCCGCCCTCAATTTTGACCTTCACCTTTAATCGCCGGCGTCTTTTATCGATCAATTCGCTTCCAATTCGAGTTTCTTTCTCTTCGTCGAGATTTGATGGGTGGTTTCTTTGCAGTCGATCTTCCAAATTTGGGATTTGCAAGAGATAAATTTAGGATTTTTTTAGAGTTAGGGTTTTGGGTAGAAATCGGGAATTGGGGAATCGGGGAAGGGGAGTCTGGCAGCAGGGGAGGGGTTACAGGTGGTTGCGGATTTGGGGAATGAGCGGCTGGCGGAATTCGGGGGTGGGGGAAGGGTTTCTGGGGTTTTTGGGGAAGGGGAGTAGGTGTGGGATGGTCGCCGGCGTTGTGGAAGACGTCTGGGTGCCGGCAACGAGGTGAGGTGGCGCCGACGGAGGGGAGGGGGCTAGGGTTGGCTGGGGCACCAACGGGTGGGGTTGGATTTTTTTTATTTTATAAAAATAATTTAATTAATAAAAAAATATTAAAAAAAAAACTAACCATGGTTAATGAGTTTAAATTAAAATAAGTACTATCTTTGGTAATCAAAAGTTCAGGTTTACCAAAGATAATAAAAATTTTTGCAATTCACCACTGAAAAAATTAAAAAGTATAATGTCAATAAAGAGAATTTCCCAAAAAAAAAAAAAAAAAAAAAAAAAAAAACATTACCTTGAAAAATGACTATTAATCACAATTCACCATAAAAAATCTTGAAAAATAATTAATTTGCTAACTTAAAAAATATTACTCACCGCGACATACCCAAATTCATTAAAGTTTGCCGAAGACGATGACATATTCTAAATTACTCCGTATTTCATTTTAGAATAAATTCACACCCAACCATTAATTGGAAAACCCCCAGCAATTCTTCTAATACCCTATTTCAACACTCCATCAGATCATATGCAAATAATTAAATTAAAATAACTAAAGAAGAAAATTGTTGGGCAAAATCAAGAAAGGACATTATTTGTTATCCGCTCATATTCAACATAAATAAAACGATAGCCATGTATATAGTGAAGCCACAGGGAATACGTTCATCAACAATTATAGAAATATATGTCGAATTCACATCAAAAGTTTAGAAATTTGAACAAAATTCATAGGAAACAGAACGAAATCAATAGAATTGAGAAATAATAAAATGGATGGGTAGAATCTTACTTGTTAAGAGAATTAAGAAATAATAAACCAACCATGAATGAGTGAAATTGAGTGTGGTTGAGCGTTTTAGGAGAGAGAGAGCACTTCTAGGGTTTTTTTATTTTTATTTTTTTGATATTTGGAGGAGTATAGGGAATGTATAATGCCGGGAGTGTAAAAATTTGAAGGGATTAAACATTTCGAAACGCGGGGCTTTTTTCTTTAATCAACTACTACGCTATTTATCAGCGCTCATTATAAGCACTCCAAGATTAATTTACCTTGTCTTCTGTCAGCATTATTTTATTATGTGCCTCTAGATAAGTGTATGTTTTTAGTGGGGAGCTTGTGATACAGAGAGTGACCAAGACCATTCACTAATGGATAAGGTTGCTAAGCTTGATTATCCTCAGTGTGAGTTGTTGCTTAGGCATGTACGGACATTTCAAAGCTCTAATTTACTTTGCGTACTTGTCCTCCTTGTGTTTTTGAGGCGGCTCAACGATCTTTTGATGGGGCTCTTCGTTCTTCTTTGGAGCGTATTGTTACTACTTCAGGGTCGGAATTTGGCGATTGGCAGTGGCGTCTTGTTACCTTGCCTTTAGCTTTTGGAGGGCTTGGTGTTTATTCCGCGAGTGATGTTCGGAATTATGCTGTTCTCGCTTTTCGTTTGCAGTGTGTGGCTTCACTAGGCGAAAAATGTAAATGAGCACCTGTTCAAAATCCCCCTTTAGCACCGGTTTTGAACCGGTCCAGGAGGGATGCAAAAAAAAAACCATTGGCCCCGGTTCAAAACCGGTGCGAAAACAAAAAATTAGCACCGGTTAACCGGTGCGAATTAAGTTCTTTGGCACCGGTTAACCGGTGCTAAAAGGGTATGCCGTGCTTTTTTTTTTTTGGTTTTAAATGCAATTGGCACCGGTTAACCGGTGCCATTAAATCTATTTTTTGTTTTTTTTGTTTTTTGGCAATAATAATAATATTAATACTAATAATAATAATAATAAAAAACCTGTACATCCTGCATTAGTTCTACCATTATTATAATAAATTATAATAACAATAATAATTATAATTATTATATTATTATTATTATACTACTAAAAATAATAATAATAATAATTTCTAAATTGAAATAATAACAACAATACATAGATATTAATAATTCCAAATGCAATACAATGATGTGTCATATTTAAAATTCCTAAAAAAAAAAAAGAAGTGTTACATTTACAAACAATACTAATTAATAATGTAGTTATAAAGTTAACAAAATCTAAATTCAAATAGAAGTGACATTTATAAATTAAAGGTGATGAAAGACGCCAACATGTCTCAAACTTCATTAAGTTCCTTGCTTGTCAACGGAGCTTTTCTTTGTACCTTGCAAAACTTGGAATAAACAAAAATTATGTTAGAATTAATTACTTAGGATATGCATGTATAAATACATTTTTAAAAAATTAAATACCAAACTTGATTTATTATAAGTGGCTCAAATATATAGAATGTTTCTATTATTTGTAAGTATAAACAAGCAAATAATAGTCAAATTCATAC